CCCCCTGAATACTGTTTCCAAAATTTCAAACTGGAACAGTAAGCAAGTCAACACGATTTTAAAACCCCCCAAAAAACAACCCAGACAAAACCGACTAATATGGTTCATACGGAGGTAAATATTTTGTGCGCAGACATAATATCATTCAATGCGTTTTCTTGATTATGGATGTGTACATGTATAATATTATGTGGTTATGTGCGTCTGCGAGTGTTTGGCGAAATCTACACTAAGACTAGGAGAACGTAGATGACTCACAGGAACGAGACATTGCCAACGTTGTCCGGAGGTGCCTGCCAGCCTAGAGCTATGGAGTCTGTCGGCTTAGAGTTCCAGTGAGTCGCCATGTTCTGAAAAAGTTCAAAAGCCAAAATTACTAAAACCGTTTATTGTCATAATATAGTGATTCAAATATTATATTATAGTCGAACTTGCTTCAACGACCATCTGTCCAAGACAATCATTGAGGCATAAAAGACCACATTCTCACTTTTCCCCCTTTGCGTTTTTTGTGTGTGTTCTATAATATCATAATAGCCGTCGATGGTTGGTGGTTGCTCTGGTGTGGTTTGCTTCTCCTTTCCTATCAAATATCTATTATCTTTTTCTCCCCTTCTTCTTTTTTGTGTTTGTTACTCTCTTGTAACGCCTCTAAACTTTGGCACTTATATGCCCTTATTGTGTTGCAAGTGCCCTAAAACAATTACCCCCAAAAATACTAAAAAACCATCTGTCTGAGACAATCACTTTTCTCCATGACATGGCTGGCCGTCTCGGACAATTTTGACTGTATGATTATTGTTCTGTGTGCTTCTAACACCGTACTAGACACTGGTGGCATGGAAAACTAGGCATAAGCATTTCTATTGAATTGTTAATCTACTGAGTGGTTGGTTGGTGGGTACAATTCTGATGTGGTTTCTTCCTTTTTTACTATCAAACATTTGTGTCACGATGTGGTGAAATCAGGCCCTCGTCAATTTTCTGGCATGTGGAGTTATTGGTATCATCTGAGAGCTTATTCAATTGTCCTGCTTTCAATGAAAAAATGATACCCATCTTGAACAGAAGTAAAAATATTTGCGATTGAAGGAGGTCAGGACGCCTGGTTTTTGTGGTGAAATGACAGAGAAAATGGCCGCCAAAGTTTGGTAACTCCAATAGCTAGAGTCCTTGAAAACTGAAAAATGACATATTTTGTTCCTTTAATCAACGTTTTCCAGTAAAATTCACGTGGAAATGTGTTTTTATATGGACGTAAAAGGAGTTGAGCCAAAAAATAGATATTTGTTAAAGATTGCCCAACTGGCTGGACAATGCCGCTCCGATTTCGTTCCTTTGACGAGCGCCTGATCTTACCATTGTGGCGTCGGTGGCCTAGTGGTTAGCCTCCCGGACTCGCAACCGTAAGATCGTGGGTTCGAATCCCGTCTGGGACCCGACGTCGTGTCCTTGTGAAAGGCACTTTACACGAATTTACCTCACTTCACCCAGGTGGGAATGGGTACCCAGCTATAGACAGCGAAAGATCTTGTCAGTTTGTTAGTGTTTGAGCGCTTAATAAGCTGCTTGCACTGTATGCTTCCCGGGAAGCTGAGAATGTTTCTGAGTGTTCTATGGTCTGCTGGGGTAATAATATAGTGTAAAGCGCATAGAGCCTGCTGTTGAGCGGGGATATGCGCTATACAAATGCTATTTATTACTATTATTACTATAATGCCTCACATTTATCATCCACATTTCCCCTCTGTCGTTTCTTTGTATGTTACTCTCAAGTAACACCTCTAATCTTCGGGACTGACAGGTCGACCTATGTGTGCTGCAAGTGCCGTGAAACTCTTACTAATCTAAGCTGAAAGCTAAAGCCTACTACTGACCTTGAAGCCGCCAAAACAGGTAAAGACCGTGACCTTGTCGCCCGGGTAATCCGTGAACTGGCCCACGATCTCCTCCGTGTTTTCCGTCTGTCTGTGGGCGCCAATCTGGAACCCCGTGAAGTTCCGGCGGTCGGGGGCCGCTATCGTCACTGGGAGAGGCACAGCAGACGATCAGATTGTACTTCAACGCTTTTCTTTTTTTGGTCAGTGTCTTTCTTTTTTTTTGTAACAATGATGCTGATGTCTTTTTAAAATGTAGGTGCTCCCCCCCTCCCAAAAACATCCCAGAAAACAACAACAACAACAACAACAACAAAACCCCCCAAAAACCCCAACAAAAACAAACAAACAAACAAACAAAACACACACACACGAAACTTTAAAAAAAAATTAGCACAATTTAAATGTCAAGAGACGGGCTTTGACCCTGTCTGTCAGAGCCAACCCGGGCTGAAAAAGATACAACGCCCAGCAGAAAGATTGAGAGACTCGATTGTAAATTCTTCACCACACCAAAATGGAATTGAACCTCGGGTCTTCTGCATGCGACGGCGAAGTGCCTAACTGCTACACCACTGTCGCCGGTCAGTATTTCGTCTCTACGTGACACGGATATGACCGGAACAGCTCCATACTGTACTTACTGTACATGTTTTACGCTTCCTTCGAAACAATTTAGATCGTTTGGAAGTCCGGCAGTTTCAATCTTGTCTGTCGGGGTTAATCCGGGCTCAGAGAGATACACCGTCCCACCAAACGGATAGATAAAAAAATACCTTTTGCAGATAGATAGATAGATAGATAGATAGATAGATAGATAGATAGATAGATAGATAGA